ATTAACCGGGCTTGCTGAGCCCCACTGCATTTGTTTCTGAGTTCCCAGCCAAACGTTCAGCAGCCTTGAATGTAAAGTGAAACAGGGGTGCCCAAATAAGCGTCCAGGAGATCAAGCACCTCACATAGCCCAACAAAAGCAAACTGCTTCAGGCCATCCACAATTTGGGAAAATCGATCTTTTCTAGCTGATTCTTGGGCCGCTTTTCCCACACCAGACTCCAGGCGCGCATTGCTGCTTCTCAAATGGGCCTTTCCTAACTGCAGGTCAAGAATAGGTATCCAAAATGGAACATTGGAAAATGTAAACATGGACTAAAACCTGCGGTCCCCTGGTGGTGTAATTTTGACCCACAACCAAATGGGCGGCCTTTCCCAGGTGCACAGCTGCACCCAGGCAGCTCCTGCATCTATGGAAGGGGATATCAAGTTGAAGCAATAAACCAACCGCCTTGGCCTTTTACAGCGTGCTTACAGTCAGCTTGGTTATTTTTTCGCCCAGAACCTGTGCCACTTGAGTGCCATGTACCCAACGGCATCCATCCACGGGACATTGGCCAAGCGTCAATGAGCTCCCTGACCACCACCTCGAGACTCGCAAAGGGGCTGTCCAGCACCAAAGCGGCGATGCTGGGGTCGCGGTGGCCATGCCTTTGAAGCACCAAGCTCTGCCAGGGCGTTATGCAGCTTCCCTCTGATTGGTGGGTTGGGCTCTCCTCTATAAAAGCCAGGGGCTCCAATCCCCAAACCAATCCAGAAAGCCAGTTAGGAGGCTCCTGATTTATGGTGGTGGCGTAGGAACATTCTGGCCCCCACTTCAGAAGCAATTCTTCTCGTTCCCCGACTCAATGCCAAGTTGCAGCAACGCAGTGACTGCACCCATTGATCGGCCCCACAGGGCTATGGTCGACACCTCCGCAAGGCAAGCAAATGGAAGCATACTTCCGCGCAAGCACTTTTAACAAACCTCATGCCATAACACTACTTGCTGGGTACTGGTTGCCTGCATATTTGTGGTTAGACTTTCGGAATCCCGATCGTGGAGCTTTCGGGGTACGAAAGCCGCCCGCTTCAGCCTTCAAACAAGCAATTCCCGCTCGAGCTTCGCAGCTTCCACTACAAGTGTGCCACAACAAGCTACGTCAAGCTTCACCCTTGAAAGCTCCAGCTCAAAATTGCTGCTTTTCAGTGCAAAAAAGAAGACCATTGTGGCTGCGGGAGCAGCTGGAAATTGCAGCAGTCTTGTGGCTCAGCTGTGACTCAAAGGCGTCAGGACTTGAATGTGGCAAATTGGGCGCTTGAGGATGCGTGACCAAGTCACGCCAAACTTTGACCAACATCTATCTTTGGTCAAATCTGCGGAGCTTTTGCGGGGCCCAATACATCAATTAGCCGTCCCTTCATATCCCAATACAGGAACCTTTCAGTCAACTCCCACGCCGGCAATGATTTCAGCGAGACATGTTGGAACATGGCTTGCAGAGATGGAATGGACATCGCACCCAACCATGCAATACTCAGCAGTTTTCAAGTTCTGGAAAGATTGTAAATCCAGGAGACCACCCTGGGAAAACAGAATATGTTGGAATTACCTTGCCAAATGTGCAAACCCGCCCTCCTCTCAATCAATCTGTTTACGCTCGTGAACGCACACAACATCTGTAGATAGTCAAATATATATTGCAAACAAGATGCCAACTAGAAACGCCTGATCTAAACATGCAGTGGAGGGTTGAGCACAATGTGCGCCATGACCAGGCTCCAATCGAGCAAACTGCCTCCCCACTGCTGCGCAAATAGTTGATCACCTCTTGGACATCATCCTAGGCTTCAATGCGCTGCCCCGCGCGGAAACATTCGCCAAGCCAAGGGGATCCAGCCATGTGCCACCACGGGTCCACTCACGAGTGTTTGCATTATCCCTTCGAGTGGGCGCAAAGAAGAACCGGCAGGGAGCCATGTCGATTGAATCTGTAAGGCACCGGCCCTTTCGTGATACCCAAGTGTGATGTAGTCGCCTAGCCAATGCTTGCCGGCACGAGGGCAAGCATAAGGCTTGATAGAAAGTGCTGCCACGTTGCCACAAACCAAAAAAAAGAGAAGAACGCCAAAAACGCGGAGTGTGTTCAAGCAGCCCACGCGGAAAAGTGCCATGGCAGCTGGCTTGTGCCTTCAGATTGACCACAGCCAGCGAAGTCAAAGGCAAAGAGCGTGATGCCCCGCGGCAGGACCTCTAAAACCAGCCAAGCACCCAAAGCCTTCAACTTCACCAAATGCTACTTCACGACTAACATAGATGTTCATCACTCTTTCGCGCACTCTTCATTGACCTCGCAAAAAGCTGGGACCTGAGATTATCATCACCAATGTTGCCCATCGCCATCGCGGCTGTTCTGAGCAGCCCTGCCAAGCGCACGTGCTGCAGGGCTTCGAGCCTGCAAGAGGAGTTCCCATGCAGGCACACCTCGGGCAAGTTTCACGGGCTGTGAGCCCTTCGTTCGGCCGACGGCTTGCGCTGCAAGGGCGAGACTTGGCAAGGGCTATCTGGGAGGACTTGTTGCTCTGTACCCTCACTCACACTAACCGAAATTAACATAACACTTTCCCTGTATTTTGGGGGAAAAAGCCATGTTTCAAATGGTTGCAAAATGTATCTTTTAAGGAGCCCTGTGACAGGGGCTCCCTTGCAAAGGAAACCAGCGTTCCAGATACCCTCCCACAGGTGCCAGTGGAAGGGAGAGTATCTTGCAAGGGGAATTCCCGATCGCGCGATGCGCGACGCGTGGGATCCAAGCGCAAGCCAAGGGGAGCACCACACAGGGCAATGGCTCTGAGGAGATCAGCTCTGGTCGCGCGGGCTTCCACCAGCTGCATTCCAGCAGAAGGCCTCCATGGTCCAGGGCGAACAGAATGTTTGGAGTCTTGACGATCAGTGATATTGACATTCAACCTGTAGTGACTTGCAGCTTTTCTGTACTTTTGTAACACCCCGCCCGGGTTTCGAGAGGTTCTACGCAAAGGGGGGGGGGAGCCGCTCGCACGCCAGACGCCCCTTATCTTCGGCCATTTGGCCTCGTGGATTCTGGACCTGTACGTCCTGGCGCTGAAAGAGGTGGCCGCTGAAGAGGAAGGACCGCGGGCCTTGGACCCAGCGGATCGGGATGAAATCCGCTTCCCCCGGCCCTCATCAAAGTCTTGCCAGGCGAACATCCGAAGATGTCCCTCGCCCTCCTTGACTTTCATTGACCCCAGACTAAACCAATACTAAACTTCTGACATAAGGGGTACTTTCAGCACTTCCCTTGTTCAACTGCTACCTACCACACACAGGAAAACATGAGGCAATTGAAAACTGAAAAAGGCATGCCCCGTTTTAGATTGTATCAAACTCCTCTACAAAGGTTGCATTTCTACTCCTCCGGTGACAAGTGGCAAATTTTGCTCGGGAAGAAAAGGGACCTCTGGGACCCTATAAATTCAATATCTAATTGGGGGGCCGGGCGAGATCTAATGGGGGGAAGAGATTTCATGTTGCCCGCAGTAGAAGCCAAGGAACCCAATCGTCGGCTGTCATACTCTGCCCGGGGTGGGCGGATGATTGCATTCCTCATCTCACAGCCATCTCGACGCCAACTCTTCCCCGGAAGACAAAAAACGCGAAACATGCAAAAGGGAAGCCAATGGAGACGAGTCGCACGACTTCTTGATAGGAGCCACCAATGGAGCGCCACCAGCCACCTAGAACTTTTTCCATGCCATGCGTTCGAACTAGGAGCCCCTGAAGGTAGTTGGAAAGCAGCCGTATTCGGGCGAGGCGAAAAAGCCGCGATTTGTGCGTCTTCAGGGAAGCAACCCAAAGCAAAGACTCTAAGTGCCAAGCCACTGCGTTTCTGTTGGGCGTGCCTCACCTCAAAAAAGCAGCGGCGGCTCGAGTGCTGATGCCGCATCCAAAAGGGCTGGAAGATTGCTAGCCTGTTGGATTGGATGGAAGTAGAATTACACTGGAACTTGAAAGGCTGTCAAGATCGGGTGGCACAGAGCTTCCATATGAAGTTTCTTTTGGGCACTGGGATTAAAGGGTTGGTCACAGAGTTGGAATAACTCAAGAAAATGAGGCATGGCTTTTGGCCATGGCTTAGGATGATCTGGGTGAGCCCAAAAATATATGCCAGTCACAACTAGCATCCATCAGCCCGGCTGGTTCAATGTGTTTGACAGAATTCCCTCTGCAACATTCTTCATCTGCATACATCTTTCGAAGCCGCGGGAGATCGGGAGAGCGCAACTCTACATCCAACTTCTGCTCTGCCAGCCAACCTGTTCGTGAATCCTGCCTGTGCCTTGTGCCTGCCCCATATCTTTCAGCCTCCAAGGAGTGCAAAGCTACCTTGCACAAGCGAAACTAACCGCCGACCGTGGAGCGTCAAGTTTCAGTAGATCAAAAGCACGCGCAACCCGCACTCCCCGTTTTGCTGTGCCAGTTGCTAGGCTGTGCTTGCTAAAGGCCCGGCGTGAGGGGCGTCCTCCTCCTCCTCGTCAGCTGGCGGACTCCTGACATCTCGCGTCGGTGCAGCAGTGGAAGTTGTGCAAATGGAAAAACCGGCAAAGATCGATGAATTGAAGCACGCCTGTCGCTCATGGCTATCATGCATTGCCAGTTCTCATCATCGCAGAGAGGTGCTCCACGTTTGCATGTGTTGTTGTTGTTTTTCTCGCTGCTTTGGCAAACGCCTGCAAGAAACTTGGTGCCCGTGACGTCGCACCCGTGCCGTGCTGACTTTCTCAAATTCATTGCTCTCCCTGAATGGGTTGGGCCCGGCAATAAACTTGCCATCGGCACGAAGCTGCAGCCAGCAAGGCTGCGGCACAACCACGCATAGATTCTGTCTCTCTCTCTCGCTGTGCCATCTCCTGGTCCAAGCACAGCTTAGAGGCTATAGTTCTAGATAACTCGCCAAGGCACTCCTAAGCTCTTTGCTGCTTCCCTCATGGCCCGCGGGCCTCACCCCCTGTCACCTGAACATGAGCGAAGCGCGGCAGCACCTCAGGTACACGCGTGGCAGCCCTTGGCTCCGGGCAACTGTAACATCAGAACAAAGGCACCAGGCCTTTGAGGTTCCATCTTCGTCTGCTTGAGGGGCAGGGCTGCGGTGTACGACGCTGTTCCTGTCACGGACCAGGGCCAAGGATGTGACGTTGTCTCAGGATCAGGTCTCATTTCCTGCTGAGTTCTGAAGGCAGGCTGACATCAAAAAGGTACAGGAGTGGGTGCAGGAATGTAAGCAGAACTGCCCAACTCATGGAAAGTAAGGCCAGAGTAGCAGGCTGGCACAAATGAGAATGCACATGTTGGAATAATAACACGACATGGAACCAAAATATCAGCAAGGGCGTTTGGTCAGCCAAACGATGAAGGAAGCTGCCACATCTGTCACGCGAAAGCACGCGGCTTGCCTCAGCCTGCAAAGCTGGACAAGAAGCAAGCAGCACAAACGCCATAACATCCAAATCACCAAGCAGCCAAAGTAGCCTGAAATCCAAAATGGATGAAGATTACTTCGACTGATTGGATGGTGGTCCCACGCCAGGGCTTGCAACAAAGCCAAAATGCTCAATGCAAGAGATGAAGGGATCACAACCAACAGCGGCCTGTAGCCAGGCTTGATGAACTGACCTATCACGTCTGCCACCACCTGGCCAGGCAGCGCGACACGGAACCCCCCGGCCAAAAAAAAACACTCCTTTGAACTGCGGGCAAGGGCACCTGAAAGTCCAGCGAGCCGGTCTTCTCCGGGTCCAAGTAGCAAAAGAACTGAGGCCAAAGGAAAGCTCACGACTTGAATTTTCTTTTTCGGGCGTACCCACGAGACCTGGTTGGTTTTTCTCGACCGATTTCCCCTTTGAAACCGCCAAATGGGGTTGACACACCGACTTGGCAACGCAGCCTAGTGCAAGCCGCCGCGTTTCTTCAAGTTGGCACTTTGGCCCTGGAACTGCTCATGAACCTATGCTAGAAGTGACGCTCAGATGAGCAGTCAAGCGGCACCTTGCGAAGAACGCGCAAACATGGACTCAGAAAACAAGAGGCTCGTGCTCGGAAGTGCAAAGAACCGCACAGTGCACTGCGGGGGGCTGATCCAAAGATCTTTTGCATGGGGTGCCCATTCGGGGTCTTTGTTTCCATCTGGCCATGGGTCAAAATCCCATACCCCCAATGAACATCCCAATCCCCACTAAAAAACTAAAACGGGTGGTGAATTCACCTACCCCAAAATGGGATCCCAAAACGGTGTTTATAGAACAGGCTAAAAAACCTAGAAGGGTCAGCATCCATGCGTAGCAAGTATGACGAAGCTACGCCAGTGAGACACTCATGCAATTGGGGTCACATGGTAAAATACACCCCCCGTGACCGACGGTGAAACAGGAGGACAAATGTTAGGGATGAAACCGATAGGCATGAGGTCCTTTTGCAGGTAATGAGCACCTGACAGTCAAGCAACGGCCAGTTAAGGTCTTCCGCCTCTGCTAGCCACCGCTTTCGCGAGGCAGTACTCAATCCTGTACATTGGTCTTCGGCAAACATGATCAATTAGATATAATCGATTGAAATTTGAAATGCAAATGGATGTCCGCCGAAGATCTGGACATGCATCCGCTCAGCACCCGTTCCAGTTGCGAGAGCTCTTCCATGGGCGCTGCTCATCCTCCCACCAAGAGTCCCACGACTGGTCCCAGCTGCGCCAGTAGGATTGGGTCCATGACCTATCTTGCCACTGGCAAGGGAGTGACAGGGAGTACTGCGACCGGGGCCTGGATGAACGGAATCTCGCTCGCAACGAAGCAAAGGAGCTCGACGAGGACGGTCTCGGCATCCGACTGAGCTGAAGTCTTTCGTCCAGCCCATGACCTTGTATCGCTGTTCCTTCTCCAGGCTCCCGCGCATAGCAGCAAAATCGTTCAGTTTGCAGAAGCCTACCACCGTGGACGGGGGCTGACTTCTTTCACACCAGCGTTAGCCGTGCAGCATATTTGGGCACGGCGCCGCTCGAAGCCGGGGATGATGCAACGGGCCACCTTCTCGATGAATTCGAGAGCCGAGGGCGTTAGGTCTCCCCGAGCAGCCGTGTACGGTCGTTTATAAGACGTTCGTACAAGGTGCCGTACTCCTTTTTCCTGAGTACGGCCTTCTTCGCGATGTCTTTCATGATTCCGAGCCCTCCCCGGTTGCCACGAGCATCTTTGTGCTGGGTGAGAGAACCTGAGTCTCGATCTGCTCCATCACGAGGGGATGCCAATGTTGTTGGACGTCCCGGGCAAGTTTCTTCGCATCGGGCATGCGTTCTTGCAATGTGTCGCGCTGAAAACAGTGAATGGAGCCCACCGGGTTGGATCCATTGCACCCTTTGCAGACTTCGTCCAGAACGTGCATGACGTTCCGGATAGTGTTCCGGCTGTTTTGTTGGACGGGTCCTCAAGATCATGATTGAAAACATGAGCAAAGGGATGATGTTCCGGTGAAAGACGAACCTTCTCCTTCTCCGTAACGACATGCTCACATCCTAGATACCTGCCAACTGCTGTAGGCGGGCCCGTGTCAATTTTGGATGAGATAGTTCCCACCCTTTGGCCATGTTCTGGGGCAAGGGGCGAGTCAGGAATCATAGGAATCAGAGTCAGGAAGCGGGTCGGACGAAGTCAGGAAACGGGTGGGTCAAAGTCAGGAAACAGGTTGGGTCGCGTCAAGAAATATGTAGATGTGGTGTTGTGAGTCAGGGAACGGCCCCGGAAACGACAGGAACAACACGTCGGGGAGTTGTGACTGAGTCAGAAAACGACAGTCATAAGTCAGGAAACGGCACCAAAAACGACAGGAACAGCGTGCCGGGGCCCTCTCAAAAGTTTGGAGTCAAGTGAATAAGGTTTCGTGAGCCAGGAAACGACTGTGAGTCAGGTTGTTCGGCTTCGGGGTTCTCGTTTTTGTAATCGCGATGTAAAGGCTTCTTTCAAAGCCTCTTTTCTAATTCGGGGGGGGCTGCGCCCCCCCCCAACCCCCCGCTTGTTTATAGGGCCGCTGTGCGACTTTGTGATTTTGTTTTACAATCACACCCATTGTTCCACTAGTGTCCTTATTTGTTTTAAACTGAGGGGGGACCAACCCCCCCCCCCCAACCCCCCGCTTCCTGGCAGACGCTGAGAAACTAAACCTAAACCCTAGCCCTAAACACCTAAACCTAACCTTAAGAACCCTAAACCTAAACCCTGAGAACCCTAAGCCTGAGCCCTAAAACTTGAAACCTAAACCTTAAAAGCCCTAAACCTACACCCTACAAACGTGAACCTAACCCTAAACCTAACCCTAAAACATCCTAAAAACCCTAAAACACAAGCCTTTCCTTGACCCACGCCAAGACGACATCAAGGCACAATGCACAAAGCAAAAGGACAAAGCATGCAGTGGCTTCTGCATCCTTTGCATTGCGGCCAGCATCACGCATGTCTCTTCCTGCCTCCCCTCTCCCCTGATTTGAACAGCTTTGCACGCCATGTTCCTTGATCCGAGCCATGACGCTATCAAGGAACGATGCACGAAGCCGCGTCGGAGCGCAAAGCACGCAGTGCCAGACTTGCATCCCAGCATCACCGCCAATTCAAAAACACTGACCACATCATTCCTGAATCGCGTTTCTTGACTCACGACTCACGTTTTCGCATTTCCTGACTCACGTTTGCTGTTGTGATCAAAATCCGCCGACCCCTTTGCAAAAGCCAAGTTAGTCTCTGCAAAGGGGCGAGGCGTGTTCTAAGTGGTGGTTAGGGGAGTCTGAGGGGGGAAGGGGGGGTCCCGCGGCGGATTTTTGACACGCCTAACCTCTAACTCTAACCTCTAACTCTAACCTCTAACCCTAACCTCTAACCCTAACCTCTAACCCTAACCTCTAACCCTAACCTCTAACCCTAACCTCTAACCCTAACCTCTAACCCTAACCTCTAACCCTAACCTCTAACCCTAACCTCTAACCCTAACCTCTAACCCTAACCTCTAACCCTAACCTCTAACCCTAACCTCTAACCCTAACCTCTAACCCTAACCTCTAACCCTAACCTCTAACCCTAACCTCTAACCCTAACCTCTAACCCTGATGATGATGATGATGATGATGATGATGATGATGATGATGATGATGATGATGATGATGATGATGATGATGATGATGATGATGATGATGATGATGATGATGATGATGATGATGATGATGATGATGATGATGATGCTAAATGATGATGATGATGCTGATGATGGGTGATGATGATGATGATGGTGGTGGTGGTGATGATGATGAATGATGATGATGATGACGATGATGATGATGACGATGCTTATGATGATGATGATGGTGCTGATGATGATGATGATGATGATGATGCTGATGATGATGCCGATGGTGGTGATGATCATGATGACTGATGATGATGATAATGATGATGACGATCATGATGATGGGTGATGATGATGATGGTGGTGATGATGGTGATCATGATGATGATGATGATCATCATGATGCTGATGATGATGGATGATGATGATGATGATGATGATGATGATGATGATGATGATGGATGATAATGATGATGATGATGATGATGCACGATGATGATGATGATGGTGATGATGACGATGTTGATGATGGTGATGATCATGATGCTGATGATTATGATGATGGCTGCTGAGGATGATGACGATGCTGAGGATGATGATGGTGATGGATGATGATGGTGATGGATGATGATGATGATGATGATGATGATGATGATGATGATGATGATAACCGATGATGATGATGATGATGATGGATGATGATGCTGATGATGATGATGATGATGATGATGATGCCGATGATGATGAGGATGACGATGATGATGATCATGATTGATGATGATGATAATGATGATGGATGATGATGATGATGATGATGATGATGATGATGAAGATGATGATGATGATGATGCTCCAACCTTAACCTCTAACCCTAACCTCTAACCCTAACCTCTAACCCTAACCTCTAACCCTAACCTCTAACCCTAACCTCTAACCCTAACCTCTAACCCTAACCTCTAACCCTAACCTCTAACCCTAACCTCTAACCCTAACCTCTAACCCTAACCTCTAACCCTAACCTCTAACCCTAACCTCTAACCCTAACCTCTAACTCTAACCTCTAACCCTAACCTCTAACCCTGACCTCTAACCCTAAACCTCTAACCCTAACCCCTAACCTCTAACCTCTAACCCTAACCTCTAACCCTAACCTCTCTAACCTCCTAACCTCTAACCCTAACCTCTAACCCTAACCTCTAACCCTAACCTCTAACCCTAACCTCTAACCCTAACCTCTAACCCTAACCTCTGACCCTAACCTCTAACCCTAACCTCTAACCCTAACCTCTAACCCTAACCTCTAACCCTAACCTCTAACCTTAACCTCTAACTCTGATGATGACGAAGGCGATAATGATGATGATTGATGATGATGATGATGATGATGATGATGATGATGATGATGATGATGATGATGATGATCATGATGACGATGACGATGAAGATGATGGATGAATGATGATGATGATGATGATGATGATGATGATGATGATGATGATGATGATGATGATGATGATGATGATGATGATGATGGATGCTGATGATGATGATGATGATGATCATGATGACGATGACGATGAAGATGATGGATGAATGATGATATGATGATGATGATGATGAGGATGATGATGATGATGACGATGATGATGATG